CCGCGACGGCCCAAGTGCACCCAAAGATCGCCCAAGAGGCCCACGACGCCCCCCGAGGCCCCCAAGAGGGCCCAAGACCAAGACGCTCAAGATGGCCCCCAAGACGGCCCAAGAGACCCCCAAGACGGCCCCAAGAGGCCCCCAAGACGGCCCAAGAGGCGTCCAAGACGCTCAAGATGGCCTCCAAGACGGCCCACGAGCCTTCCAAGACGTCCTACAAGAAGGCCCGAAAGGGTCAAAATGGCCTCCAGGCGGCCAAGATGACTTTCAAGATGCCCACGTGTTCCCGAAGGCTCTCCAAACCGATTCGGGGAACACATGGTCCGATGGCTTGGCAGGTCTGGCCTCAACGTTCGGCCACATCGGCGCTTCCAAAAAGGCAGAGGGCGGCGGTGATTCGCCGTAGGCGCCTTAGATCCGCCGCCCCCTGATGGCTTGCCACAGGGGTGCCTGGCGTGCTAAATGATTTCGGTTTTGGTTTTGGTTCTTTTCCAAAGAGCTCCCCCTGGGTCTCCGGCGCGTCCCGCCAGGGCCCCGGGAAGGATCTCAAAACGCATCTGTCGATGCATTTGTTGCCTCAAGTTGGCCCAAGATGGCCTCCAAGACGGCCAAGATGGCCCAGGATGGCCCCCAAGTTCGCCCAAGATGGTCCCAGACGGCCTCCAAGACGGCCCAAGAGGCCCCCACAGACTTCCAAGACGGCCCAAAAGGCCTCCAAGAGGTCCTCCAGGAGGGCCCGAAAAGGTCACAATCACTGATTTTCCATTGGTTTTTGAAGGATTTGGGCATTCGCTTCTTCTCGGTATTCCGACGGCTCAAGATGGCCCAAGAGGCCCCCAAGGTCGCCCCAAAATCGCCCAAGAGGGCTCCATGATGACCCCATGACGGTCCAAGAGGCCTCCAAGACGGCCCCAAGAGGGCCCCAAGACGGCGCAAGAGACCTTCAAGACGCCCAAGATGGCCTCCAAGACGGCCCTGGAGCACCCCAAGAGGACCACAATTCGGTTCGGAGAGGCCCCCCACACGGCTCCCGACGGCGTCAGACGGGCCAGGAGCCCACCACGATGGCCGACGCTGGCTCGAAGTTGGCCCAAGAGGCCTCCAAGAGGGCCTCCAGGAAGGCCAGAACAAAAGCCAAAAACACAAGTTTTCCATTAGGTTTTTGAAGGATTGTGGCCCGAGACGGCCCAAGAGCCCCCAAAGATCACCCACAGATCGCCCAAGAGGCCTCCAAGATGGCCCCCAAGACGGCCCAAGAGACCCCCAAGACAGCCCCAAGGGGCCCCCAAGACGGCCCAGGAGGTTTTTAAGACGCCCAAGATGGCCTCCAAGACGGCCCTGGAGCATTGCAAGAGGGCCCCAAGTCGGCCCAGAGAGGCCCCCCAAACGGCTTCCGACGGCGTCGGACGGGCCAGGAGCCCACCAAAACGGCTGAAGATGGCCCTAAGATGGCCCAAGCCGGCCCAGGAGGCCTCCAAAAGGGCCTCCAGGAAGGGCCGAAAATGCCAAACTCATTGATTTCCCATGAGTTTTTGAAGGATTGTGGCATTTGTTTTTTTTCTGCCTTCCGACGGCCCGAGACGGCCCAAGTGCCCCAACGACGGCCCAAGAGGCCCCCAACGTCGCCCAAGAGGCCCACGACGGCCCCAAGAGGCCCCCAAGACGGCCCAAGAGGCGTCCAAGACGCTCAAGATGGCCTCCAAGAGGGCCCACGAGCCTTCCAAGACGTCCTCAAAGAAGGCCCGAAAGGGTCAACATGTCCTCCAGACGGCCAAGATGACCTTCAAGATGCCCACGTGTTCCCCGAAGGCTTTCCAAACCGATTCGGGGAACACATGGTCAGATAGCTTGGCAGGTCTGGCCTCAACGGTTGGCCACATAGGCGCTTCCAAAAAGGCAGTGGGCGGCGGCGATTCGCCATAGGCGTCTTCGATAAGCAAACAAATAGCCCGGGGAAGGGCGCAACCTTCTGCAGTCACGCGTAGCGCAGGGCGCGGCCCTCTATTCATATACTGCGCGCCGCGGGGCAATGCGGATAGGGGGCGTGCGCAGGCGCGCTGAACTCCTTGTTGTGGTCACGGTCCGCGTGAAGGGTGTGCCGAATAATCTGGAAGCACCCGCGGGAACACGCCCACTGACGCAGCAGGTGCATCTCCCTGTGGGGCACCACCCGTGTGAGGCATGTGCCGAAATGGGCGGGGGGACGCCATGCGAAGTTGCCCATGGGCTCCACAGGTGGAGCTCTTTCCGGGACAATTCGTGTGAGGGGCGAATCGGACTCCACAGAGAGGCAAACAGTTCTTGGAGGAGATATGTTGGTGGCTTCGCAACGTCGCATCTGGACATGTGCTGATGGACGCAGTGCAGGAGCAGCAGCTGCCGCCGAATCATTGGTGGCAGTTCAAGGCTGCGTGGCTGCTACGGCAGCTACCAGGCTTCAGGTAAGAGGCCAGAGCCACGTGATGGAACCAACCGACAGAAGCGTGTGATCCGTTGGCTATAAAACATTGCCCAACATGGTATCAAGACGATCCCAGTACGGCCCAAAGAGATTTCCAATATGGCCCAGGAGGCCCCCAATATGGCTCCCGAACGGCCCAACATGCCCCGAAAACCATATATACAGCATGCTTCCGAGAGGTTCCAAGACGGCCCAAAGACGGCTGGCAGTGGCCAGTAAGCTTTTTAACCGTGCCTTCGAGAAGCCAACGTCATCAAACTTCATGCCCTACCGGTGCGACCTGGAGGGGGCCTTCGTTGCATAGTGGTTTGGCCCCAGATGCGTGGCGAGGAGGGCAGGGCGGCCTTCAATGCACCCTGGCTCGGCCCTGGTGGCGTGTACCATGGAGCCAGACTCGGGCACCCCTCTTCTTTGCTCAGTTCCTCCTCCGGTCCCAGGGCGGATCGAGAGAAGCGCAAGATGCGTAGAAGAAACCCTCACGACTCCCCTACACGTCGCTGGGGTCTCCAAACTTGATTGCCGCAGGTCCCATTACTGCCCCCAAAGAAGCTCCAGAAGCGCCTATTCATGCCTCATCGGCAACTCGCGATGCGAGTTCCTTAGGCGCGGCTAGAACCTGAGCGCGCGCGAAGCGCGCGTGGTTCTAGTATGTATGTATGTATGTATGTATGTATGCATGCATGCATGCATGCATGCATGTATGTATGTCTGTGTGTGTATGTATGTACGTATATATGTATGTATGTATTTATGTATGTATGTATGTATGTATGTATGTATGTATGTATGTATGTATGTATGTATGTATGTATGTATGTATGTGTGTGTATGTATGTATGTATGTATGTATGTATGTATGTATGTATGTATTTATGTATGTATGTATGTATGTATGTATGTACGTACGTACGTATGTATGTATGTAATGTATGTATGTATGTATGTATGTATGTATGTATGTATGTATGTATGCATGTATGTATGTATGTATGTATGTATGTATGTATGCATGTATGTATGTATGTATGTATGTATGTATGTATGTATGTATGTATGTATGTATGTGCGTGTGCATGTATGTATATATGTTTGTATGTATGTATCTACCTATATGAATGTACAGACGTGTGTATGGGTGCGATCATGCGAATCCTGTTTTCGAAGCCTGTTGTTGCAATATGCCCATCAAGTGCGACCAAGCAGGCCTCTCGCGCGCGCAAGTCGATTCAATTCGAACGCCCTTGCGCGATGGCTGGGGAAGGGCACGACCCCATTCAGATAACAACATGCGGACCACTCGGGTCCGTCGACCCCGCGCGCATGTCGAAATTGTTCCAAATTGCTTTCCTGAGCGACGCGCGGACTACATCGCCGTCATCGGCGTGACCAGCATGGGCGCCGTTATTGGCCTTGCCGTCGTCATTGTCAGCATCGTCACCCTCATCGCTACTATCATCACCGCGTCCGCCCTTGTCGACGTCACCATGAGACCGCGCCCGCCCGAGCCACCGACTCGCACCGAAGTGCCCGCGCGTCAGCGCGGCCTGCGAGACGCGCTGGGAAGCCCCCAGCTGTCAGCGCCACCGCGGCTGCGTCGGTCTCGCCGGAATTGCTGGCCGCTCTACGACAGAGTTCGTGCGCGCTAGCGCGGCCGCAGCGATGCGCCACCTAGAGCCAAGCAGTCACTCCAATCGCGCCGCATTGGTTTTGAGAACCAAGTTGCGGGTGGGTGGGTGTGTTGATTGCGCGAGCAGTGGAGTTGACCCTTCCTAGTTCCGCCAAGTACGCTATGCCGACTCGAACGAATTAGCCACATACATTGCACCACATACGTTGCATTAGATAGATATTGCACCACGTAGAGTGCACTGCGTAGTATGCTAGAACATACAGCTTGTGGTCCACGCGGGCTAACGTGCTATTCCCTCGGGGTGAAGGGGAAAGAAAGAGAATTAGAGGATGCGGGAACAGTGGGATCTTGTCGGATCGGAGGGGACTGTTGTTAGCTCCCCCGGATAATCTCACAGTGTCCGTTGCGCAGGTCCGAATGGGGTACGCAGTCATGGTGCGCGCGCGGGCATACGTGGAGTTGCCCAACGCGGAAGGGTTCGGTTATCGGCAGGCACTTCTTCTCCACCCGCCGGATAACATGGGATACCGCCGAAAAAACAATTTCGAGGTCCACGACAGTTCTTTGCCGAGGAGACTGCTACGGGGGGGGTGAGAAGTGAAAGCTCCATCCCAAGGAGGAAGAGAGGGGGAGGAGGGGGAGGGTGGGACGAAACGGGAGGGAGATGAACAGGGCGGAGGGAAGAGTGCGGATGGAGGACGGAGGAGGAGGGAGGAGGAGAAGGAAAAGGAAGACGGAGGAAGGCGGAGGAGGAGGAGGAGGAGGAGGAGGAGGAGGAGGAAACGTGGAGGAGGAAAAGGAAGAGGAGGACGAGGAAGAGGAGGAGAGTGGCAGCTCGCCTGCTCTACGCTGCCTCCTCGTCGCCTCCCTGCGCGCCTGCTGGCGCCCGCGGCCGCCGCGCCCCGCCAGCGCCTGCTTGGAGTGGCCGCTCGGCACGTTCGCGCAGCCAGTCTTCAAGGCTGCTGTGGCCCCTCCCCCGTCGATGAGGAGGGTCAGAGAATTGAGACTGGAGCCACCCTGTATGCTGGGATTGGGTTCCTTCCTTGGCATGGCCAGCGGCTGCCGCCGGCCACGGTAGCACGACTCGACCAAGCCGACAGAGCTTCGCCGAGCCGCGCAACGCAGCGGCCCATCCTACGTCATAGCCGAAAGGGCAGCCCGCAACCGCTGTGGCGAGGTCGTGGGCCGTCCCTCTGCCGAGCTTGGAGCAGTCTGCTTCAGGTGCACAGTCTGTGTCTTGCGAGTACCAAGCTTAGAGGAAAGTTGCATAGCACGCACATATAAACATGCATCCAGAGAGACAGGAACATCAGAGAGACCGAGAGAGATAAAGAGGGGGGATACTGAGAGAGAGAGATAACTACAAACACATACATAACACACATAATACACAAGAGAAGATGGCGACGCGGGCGGCGAGGGCGACGGGAACACATGTACAGATACCCCACCCACATGTAGGTTGAGAGAGATAGAAAGCAAGAGAAAGAGAGAGAGAGAGAGAGAGAGCGCAAGAGAGAGAGAGCGAGAAATAGAGCGACACTTCTGTAACGTATGCACATGCGTATCCATACATACACAGTTTGCGAAGGATCGAGAGATAACGAGATAGAGAGAGAGAGAGAGGGAGGGAGGGAGGGAGGGAGGCAAGCGAGGGAGGGAATGAGGGGGATATTGAGAGGGAGAGGTGGGCGACGAGGGTGGCGAGGGCGACGGGGGCGAGGGGAGGAGGGATGGAAGGAGAGCGAAAAAGGTGAGGGGAAAGAGTAGAAGGGAGGGGGGGCGCGGGGGGGGGGGGGAGGAGGAGGAGGAGGAGGAGAAGGGAGGAGGAGGAGGAGGAGGAGGGAGGAGGAGGAGGAGGAGGAGGAGGAGGAGGAGGAGGAGGAGGAGGAGGAGGAGGAGGAGGAGGAGGAGGAGGAGGAGGAGGCGTGGGAAGGTAGGGGGAAGACGGAGGGAAGCATGAGAGGGGGCGGTGGGATGCAGAGAAAGGGGACGGGAGTGAGAGTACTAGAGAAGGGCGGGGGAGAGGGATGGGCAGAGTTGACAAAGAGGAAGAGTAGAAGAAGAGAGGCGAGGAGAGGATAGGACAACGGAAAGATGGTAAGGAGACAATGTGCGTTTTTCTTGATTGGACGTCTTGCGATCTCGGAGGGCGAAGGGGATGAGGAGCGGAGGGGTTGGGGAAGGGAGGGGCTCCCTCCCTCCTCCCCTTCTCTCCTCCTCCTCCTCCTCCTCCTCAGCCCTCTCTCGCTCTTCCTCCTCTTCCGCAGAAGAGTTGCAGCGTTACAGGACGACGAGGACGGCGACGGTGACGCCGCCCGCGGCGACGACAGACGGCGTCAACGGCAACGACCCCGCGGCGGCGGCGGCGATCAGGACGACAGGCGGCGGCGGCGACGACGACCGCAACGGTGAGGACAGTGACGGAGTCGGGGCGCAGTGCGCCGGGCGAAGACGACGACGACGACGACAACGACGGGTTGGAGAATTTCTGGCCCTTCGTCGTCTTCGTCGCGGCGGTGAAATCGCCGCCGCAACCCCTCGCCGCAGCCCTCGCCGCCGTCGTCTCGCCCGCACCACCGCCCTCGCCGCCGCCACCGTCTTCGCCGCCAGCGCCGTCCCGAGGTCTCTCCGGACGTGGAGGGCGAGGCGCTGAACGCCGACCAGGCGGGGAGCGCCCGCAGGTTTTTTGGGGTGCGTGCCCCTACCCAGGGGGGAGGTGGGCTGGGCGCGGTCTACTCGCCGCGGGGCTTGAACGCACTCGTGCTGCATACAGTCAAGACACTGAGACCAGGACCACTTTGGCCTCAGGAGGGTCTCTGGTTTCCGGGCCGCTCCTCACATCCATGTCGGGGAACTTGTTCGTGTTCGAGGCTCGCCGTGGCTGGAGAAACTTTTTCGTTCCCAATTCAGCGTTCCTTCTGGGAGCACGCTGGCTGTAGGAATAATGTCGTTCTGGCGAAGAAGGGGCTGGTGGAGCAATCAACGTGAAGTCCAGCCACCTCCGCCACCGCCCGCTGCCAAAGCGTGAAGAGGGCGGGGGGAGTGGAGCAGGGGGAGGTTACATGTCGGGCCTCCTCCCACGGGGTGTTTTTTGGGGGAGGGGGGGTCGTCGGTTGCTGGAGGTCTTCCGAACCGAGCTAGTTCATCCGATGCCTAACTCACCAGGTACCTTAGCTTCTCCGGGTCTTAATTCACCCGCGCCTAACTCACCCGATCGTTTACTTACCCGGTGTAGCTCACCCGATCCTTAATTCGTCCGGTCTAGCTCACGTGATCTTTATCTCGCCCAGGCTATGTCACCCGATCTTAAATTCACCTTGTCTATGTCACCCGTTCTCTAGTTCACGCGGACTAACTCACCTTGCGCTCAGCGAACCTTGCCCCTGACTCACCCAGCGCCGAACTGACCCCGTGCCTAACTCACCTGGTGCCTAGCCTATCTCAACTGGGCCAAACTCACCCAGCGCCTAACTCACCCGGTGCCGACTTCGCCCGAAGCCCAATTCATCTGGTGCCTCACTCATTTGATGCCTAACTCACGTGGTGCCTAACTCACATGGTGCCTAACTCACCCCGAGCCTAATTCACCCGATGCCTAACTCACTCGGTGCCAAACTCACCCAGCGCCGACCTCATCCGTTGCCTAATTCACCCCGTGCAGAACACACACACACACACCCTAACTCACCCAGTGCCTAACTCACCTGGCACCCAGCTCACCCAGTGCCCATTGGCAACCTGCATTGCAAGGATGAGCAATTTCCAAGGTTGTTGTTGGGAGGAGTGGGAGTAGGACGGGGCAGAGGAGGAGGAAGAAGAGAAGGCGGTGGGAGGCGAGAGGGAGATAGAGGGGACGTCGACGACGACGGCGATGACCACAACAACGACAACCACGACGACGACAACGACGACCACGACGACGACGACGACGACGACGACGACGACGACCGCGACGACGACGACGACGACGACGACGACGACGACGACGACGAAAACGACGACGACAACGACTACGACGACCCCGCCTGATCCCCTTTAGCTCCTCCTTGTGGGGGGAGTGGGAGTAGGACGGGGCAGAGGAGGAGTAGGAGGAGGAAGAAAAGAAGGCGGCAGGAGACGAGAGGGAGATAGCGGCGACGACGGCGATGACCACAACAACGACATCCACGACGACGACAACGACAACGACGACAACGACGACTACGACGACGACAACGACGAGTTAACCATCAATGGCCTTTCTGGGCCCTTCTCTCTGAGAGCCTCTTGGAGGCATCTTGGGGCTATCCAAATGCCTTCTTGGCGATCTTCTGGAGGTCTCTGGGCCCTGTTGGGGTCCCCGTGGTGCCTCTTGGGGCACCCTTGGGGCTCTTTCGGGGGGCTTTGGGCCCTCCTAGAGCTCTTCGGGGGGGTCTGGGAGGTCTCTTGGGACAATTTTTTGGGGGAGCCACGGCCCAAAAAAGGAGCGCGGCGTCATTTACGCCCCCCCCCCTGGACTCCGAAGCGTCGCCTGTCGGGGCCCTCTTGGGGCGCTATTGGGCGCTCTTGGGCCCACATTGGGCCTCTCTGCGGCCTATCTTGGGGCTCTCTGGGGCCATCTTAAAGCAATCTTGACGCTTCAAGGGCCCATTGAAAGCGAAAAGGCGAGAAGGCAAACCACGTTGATTTGCCTTAGGTTGTTGAAAGATGTTGGCCTCTCGGGAGCGTCCTTGGGAGGCTCCGTGGCCATTTGAGGCCGTCTTGGGGCGGTCTTGGAGCCTCGTGTAGGCTTGTTAAGGCTATCTTGAGTCATCGAGGGCTATCTTGAGCGATCTTGGAGGTCTCCTTGAGCTCTCTTGAGCTGCCTTGGCGCCACCTTATGCCAAAACAGACGCTCCAACGACCCGCCCCCCCCCCCATCCTGGCCCAGGGGGAGGGGGCAGGGGGAGGGGTCAAGACACCCACTCGCCCGCAAGCCGCCTAGCTCACTCCCATCCGCCCTCCCTACACATATGTAGCACCCGAGCCTGAGCATGTTCAGCGGTCGTCTTTGGATGGACAGCTACTGGGAACCAAAGCCGGCCCCAGGTGCGCGACGTTTGGGCGAGGTGCCCCACGCGTGCCAGGGGCGCCACGTGTGCCAGGGGCGCCACGCGCGCCAGGCACCCCTGGGGCCCGAGCGTGCCAGGCACGCCTGATGCGCCAGATGCGCCACGTGCTCCGAGTACGCCAGGCGTGCCGCCTACTCCAGCCGCGCCAGGTGCGCCGCGTTCGGGGCTCGTGCAGAGTGCGTCAGGTGCGCCTGCGTACGTGACAGCACACATCGGGAAACATGACGGCCCCGGCCATCCGCGTCGTACCGATGCCCATCAGTGTGTCTGCTGGGTTTGCGCACAGCAGGCCACGCGCCACCACCCCCGCCGTCCCTGTCAAAAACCACGAGACAGTGATCGCGGAATGGCCGCGCAGGGTCCAGATTCAGCCGCGAGGTGCATGTTGTATTGTTTTTGTCAGGGATGGTAGCACTGCTGACACCCCCGCCGTCCTTGTCCTCATGACTCAATACTTTGCCCCAGATTGTACTTTGCATGGGTTTTTGACAGGGGTGGTAGGGGGGACCTCGTCGGGTTGGCCGCGCATGCTCCAAATTTGGAGGCAGAGTGCGGTTCGTATCGTTTTTTGACAGGGATGGTGGGGCGCGGGTGGGCATGGTGTCGGCATGGTGCCTGATTGGCCCCCGGTCGCCTGGGAGAGGGGGCGTATATTCATTTGGAATAGTGATAAACTCCTCCCCGAAGGGGAAAAAGGGGGTTGGACACAGGGGGCTCTAAACCACTCACGCCGAAAGGGCTGGTGGGATTACCCATTCGAGCTCCAATCTCTGCTGACGCCTACCTGCTGCAGAGTCGGCCCTGCGGAAGCCAGCGCTGCCTCCATGCGTTTCCCGCGATGTCCAGATTTGGCCGATTACAGTGAAACTAGAAGAAAAACGAGGTGAGTGAGCGATAGCCGCAAGCAGAGGCGGCCGACAGGGCAGGAGGGAAGGAGGGAAGTGGGGCCAGGAGGCGGTGGGGGGGCGGACGTTGCGTCGTCGTGGTGGCGGTCGTTGTGGTGGTCGTGGCTGTTGTGACCGTGTCCTGTCGTAGTAGTCATGACGGTGGTTGTCCTGGTGGTGGTCGTGGAAGTCGTATTGTAGGTCGCGGTAGTGGGCGCGCGGTCAAGGTGGTCTTGAAGGTGGTCGTGTCCTGTCGCAGGTGGCCGCGATGGTCGTCGTGTTGGTTGTCGTCGTAGGCGTGGTCGCTGTTACCGCTGCTGGCCTAGCGCCCGAGCGCGCTCAGGAGCATGTCAGCATTGCCCCCTCGGAGGGTTCCGCTGATTTGCCGCCAGAGGCCGCCAAGCAGCTCGGAGCGTTCGCCGTCGTTCAAGGTCGCCCCGTTGCTGCGAGCGAAGCTGGCTGCTGCGTCGCTGGGCCGCCACCCCGTTTCGAAGACGATCGGGAGCAGCTCGCCCCCGTGGGATGGGGCACCCTTGCGTGAAGCGCAGGTTGAGTGTGCGCAGGTGATGCACCAGTCGACCAAGATCTGGCGGCCGGTGGCCAGGTCGCTAGTGGAGAGGTCGAGGACGGCTTGCTGGAGCACCCCTGTGCAGGCGCTGCGGCGATCCAAGGCGGGGGCGGCCTGCTCGCTCCGTGGGCTTCGCGACGCCTGTGACTTCTTTGTGCTTCGCGGAGTGCCAGTCGCGGCGTCTCTTGTGGCGGTTGTTCGCGATCTGCCCACCTCTTGCTTGATTGCGTGCCATCTGTGCGGGTCGAGGGGCTCGAGAGTGTCGTGCTGCCGTCTTGGCGGTGGTGCTGACAGCGGGAGCCCGACGGGCATATTGGGATGCAAAGCCGCCGCCTCAGGTTATTGTTGAAGTGCCCGTCGGGCTGGCCCTGCTGTTTGCTTTTTTGCTTCCTTTCTCTCGCAAGCGAAAGCGGCGGTCCTCGTCACGCAGCCGCACACGTTTCTCTCTGTTGGCCGCGGACGCAGCTGTGCCCCAGTGGGCCTGTAGCCTGGGTTGTGACTCTGCCGCGCAGCCAATCCAGTCGAAGGGCGATTGGAGGACGTCTGGTCGAGCGTCTGTTGCGGTCGCGCGCAGAAGGGCCCAGAACTCTTCCAGCGAGTTGGCCCCGAGGCAGGCCATCATGTCGTGGAGCACGAGGGCCCATTTTGCGGCGTAGGCGGCGGGCGCCGTCAGGATAGCCGAGGGGAGGGCACACCCGCCGTCGGCGAGGCGAAGCGAGGCTTGGAGGCGCTGGTGGTCCAAGGGTCCGCCAGGGAGCTGTTCGAGGCAGCCGCCGAACAGCACGCGTCCAGCAGCTCCGTCCAGTCCACTGCAGCTTGGTGCGGACGTGTTGCGTGACGCATCCGCGGGCGAAGGTCTGCAGCAAAGTGAAGGTGCTCTCGGTCTGGAGGCCCGCCTGCCGCAGCTCGTGTAGACCAGCGGCGAACTCCGTTGCATTGGCCACGGCTGTGGCCCCGTCCAAGTAGGCACGGACGTTGACCCGTTCCCCCTCCTGTTGGAGCCAGGGGGCCGTGTTTCCGAAGCAGGTGAGGTGGTCCACCCAGCGCGCCTGGGCGGTGGCTGTCAGGTGGTCGCGTCCCCCCGCCGAGCACGCCTGGGTCTTGCTCTGATTGACCGCTAGGCGCTAGGCCTTCCCTCGTGAGGGTGTCCGTTGCGAGCCGCATGGCTTCGTCTGCAAGCTCTGGCAGCCTTCGAGGTAGCTGACACTCTGCTGCAGGGCGAGAGGGCTTGGATGCACACGTAGAGCTCGTCGAGCGCGTCCGCAGTACCGATTGCGAAATGCGCTGGTGGGAGCGGGCACCCTTGGTCCACGCCGCTGCTGGCTCGAATGCGGTGGGCGCTGTCAGTTGGGTCCTCCCACTAGTCGTGCCGGGTGATACCCGTGATCCAGTGGTGGGTGCTCCAGCCGAGGGGCCCGCTGGCGCACGCGGTCCAGCACCTGTTTGCGAGGGATGTTGTTGAAGGCGCTGAGGCAGTCGATCGCCAGAACGACCCCGCGTGGGCAAGCCTCTAAGACTGCTGTAGGACACTTGCGCGCGAGCGCGCACCCGCCGCGCGCCCGACGGCGGTCTGATAGAGGCTGACTGCTCCTTGTGTGTCGTCCATGTAGACATCGCAAGCGGCCCGCGCAGCGAGGCGGCCGAGCACAGAGCCGCAGGCGATCGGTCGGATGGTGCCGTTGCGCTTGCGCTGGGCCAGCAGCCGGGCGCCCAGGTTCGCGCGCGTGGCCTCCGGGCTGAGCTCGCCGAGGAGGAAGGCGACCGTAACCTGGCCCTTCTGGGAAGAGGCTCTGGTGGCCAGCGTGGGAGCCGCTTGGGCAGAGGGCTCGCCAGCGCCTTGCTGGTGAGGGGCTCCTCCAGCAGCGGCTCCACCGCGAGCGTATCCTGCTTGGCCGTTGGGGCGATGCCTCCTCTTCTCGGTCCGCGGCTCGCGGTTATACGTCGTGGACACGCGCCAGGGCCCGCCCCAGACCCTCTTTCGGCCAACCGCATGCGTTCCGTTGTCATCCCCATCCCGCTCGTCCTCATCCCTCCCGCCCCCCCCCCCCCTCTCTCTCTCTCCGGCACCACCCCACAATTTCCAGTTCCGCCGTCCTCCCGCCCGGTCCTTCCCCCCTCCCCGTCCTCATCCTCCCCCCGCCCCTTTCGCGTCTTCGCCGTCACGCGCCGTCATCTGCTGCCACCCTCGTCGTCATCTGCGATCCTCCTGATCGTCTGCCATCCTCGTCGTCGTCGTCGTCGCGGCCGTCGTCGTCGAAGCCGTCGTCGCGGCTGCCGTTCCCGAGGCCGTCGCGGGGATCGTGGCGGCCGCCGAGGAGACACCTTCTCCCCCCCTTGCCGTCGCGCCGCCGGCCTCGGCCTGGCCGCGGGGCGCGGCTCTCTTCCTAGCGACGAGGACTCGTCCTCGTCGTCGTCGTCGTCTTCCCCGCTTCGTCGTCTTCTGGCTCGTCGTCGTTCAGAGGAGCGAAAGATGCCGATGCCGCTGCCCTACCCTTGTCGCCACGGCTGGATTCGCCTCGAGTCGAAGTCCAGGGAGTATCGGTATTGTGTATTGTTTTCCTCTGTTACCCCAGTCGTCGTCCTGATCGTCGTCGTCGTCGTCGTCGCTGCCGTCGTCGTCGTCCTCCTCCTCCTCGTCGTCGTTGCCGTCGTCGTCGTCGTCCTCGTCGTCGCCGTCGCCGTCGCCGTCGCCGTCCTCCGGACGAGAAGAGGGCGGAGGACGAGGAACTGAGGGGTGGATCTTGCAGGATCATGGAAATTCTGACTGGCCCTGGTCAGCATTGCCCCGATCATGACGTGTCGCCTATGCCCTCTCCCTCGAGAAGTGGACGCGCCATGCAAGACACATCGGCGGCGCGCGCATAGGGCGAGGCAGCGCGGGCGGGCCTTCTCGGGGACGGGGCTTCAGAATGCGCAGTGGGCGCCAGGGATTCCGAGGAGCATTCGGAGCCTTCTCCGAAGCCCTGCCGCCTGAGAAGGCCTGCCCCTCTTGCTCCTCCGGACTTCGCGCCGCCGCCTGGGACCATTCCTGCGTCGTGCCGACAGCCGGCGTCGCCGGCCGCGGCCGCCCAGGACCACCGCGAGGCCGCCGAAGCACGAGAGGCCTGGCCCCCGCCGCCCGCCGCTGCGGGCCGCCGCCACCGTCGTCGCCGCCGCGGCCGCGGTTGCCGGCGGTGCCGCCGCCGTAGCCGCCGTGGTGGCCGTTGCGGCCGGGGTGGAGGAGGGGGAGGCACGAGGCGGGAGGCACGAGGAGTTATTTAGGAGGAGGAGGAGGAGGAGGAGGAGGAGGAGGAGGAGGAGGAGGAGGAGCAGCAGGAAGCACGAGGAGGAGGAGGAGGAGGAGGACGTGAGCGTCGAGAAGCGGTCGACGACCGCCGCTGCGCCGCCGATCGGTCAGGTGGAGGCGGCCGCCCGCACCGCCCAGCTCGCGGAGGAGCGTCTGCTGCGGGAGGAGCAGGCGCACGGCCGCGCCGAGGGGAGGGTAAATTCGTTTCGGGTCGTCTTGTCTTCTTCCCCTCCTCGCCGTTGGCTTCCTCTGTCCTGGCGCTACTTCTGCTGCTGTTCACATAATTATTGCACTGGCTTCTCGAGTTCTGCAGAGCGCATAGTCAGAAAAGTGGTTGTCCCCTTCAAGGGGCCTTCAGATCACCGCGCCAGAACTCGAGAGGGGAGGGAGGAGAAGGCGGAGGAGGAGGAGGAGGAGGAGGAGGAGGAGGCGCTCGATGCATTAACGATGCTGCAATGCATCCTCCCGTCCACCGTCCCCGAAGCCAGCGTGGAGTCGGCAATGCTGGGGGGGCGGGCGCATGGTTGGTTAGTCCGCTCATTTCGATGAGTAGCCGTTTTTACAGTTGCGGAAGAGATGAAGCTTTGCACCGCATCGGTGAATGTCAATTTCAGTGCGCGTGTTCGTTAGATCTCCCTCCTGCTTGTCTTGCCCATCGTTGTTCTCCCTTGTCCAGGTGCCCACCCCCTCCTCTTTCAAGAGAGCCGACATGGGGCTGAACAAGCCGGGAGCGAACACCGATAACAGCCCCTGCCAATTTTCAGCAGGACTCGTCGGAATCGTCGCGCTCGTCGTCAGCAGGTCAGGCCAAGCGCCCGTCCAACAGCGGCCGCTGTCGCTTGGGGTGTGGACATCGCTGCCATTCCTGATGTCAGCATTCCAGGCGACCAACTTTCCAGCCCTGACCCTTCGTCCTGTTGCCGTCGCTGTCGCAACCGTTGCTGCTGCTGCTGATTTCAATGCTGCTGCTGCTTGAGCCCGTCGTCCTGCTAATTACTTACGCTTCCTGCCTGTGCTTACGTTTCTTCCGTCTCCGCCTCTGCGAGGTGGGGATGTAGCTATATCCGCCGCCTGGGGATCCGACGCCCTAGGAGTCCCGCGGGTTGTGGACAAGGATATCTGTTAGCCTTTGGCGGGGGGGGCAACTATGCAGATATCCACCGCCTGCCGAGGTCCCCGAAGATCGATTTCCCAGGCGGTGGTGATAGATACATCCCCGCCTCGCACTCTTGCTCTTCGTCCGCATCTTCCTCTTCTCCCTCGTCGTCGTCCTCCTCATCTGGCAGGACCGCGAGTTCCAGGAGTCGCTGCTCATGGACCAGATGTCCGAGGTTTCGCGGTGAAGGGGGGAGAAGCTAGCTCGGCATCAGTGGCGCAACGATCGTGGTACCTTTCTCAGCGAGGGGCATGCGGAGGGACGGGATGGGGCGCGCGCGCACACGCGCGCCTGCACGCACGCACGCACGCACGCACGCACGCACGCACACACACACACACACACATTCACACACACACACACTGACACACATTGACACACACACACCAACGCACGCGCGCGCACGCACGCACGCACGCACTCACACACACAGACACACACAGACACACACACACATACACACACATACACACACAGCAAACACACATGCACACACAGGACACACACACACAAACACGCGCACACACAAACCACTTTGATCGTCATCCTGCTCCTCCTTCTTCGTGCGCCCCTCCTCGTCCTCCTCATCCACCTCCTCTGTCTCCTTCTCCTCCTCCTCCTCTTCCCCCCTGTGCTCCTCCTCTTCCGCCTCCTCCTCTTCCTCCTCCTCCTCCTCCTCCTCCTCCTCCTCCTCCCTCCTCCTCCTCCTCCTCCTCCTCCTCCTCCTCCCCCTGCCCTCCTCTTCCTCCTCCCCCCCCTCCTCCTCATCCTCATCCTCATCCTCTCCTCCTCTTCCCCCTGCCCCTCCTCTTCCTCCTCCTCCTCCACCTCGTCCTGTTCCTGGCAGCAATATGGCTGCATACTACCCCGCCCCTGGCAGCATTGCCTCCTCGCGCCCCCTCCCCCCCCCACCCCCTGCCAGGTGCGGAGAAGCGAGGCGTGCGGGAGTCGGGCCCCCGCTGCGGAGGAGGAGGGACGATGACGAGCAGAAGGAGGAGGACGTGGTCTTCCGTCCCTCGCTCTCCCTTCTTCTCCGCCTCCTTGCCCCGTCTCCCCATCATCTCCCGCCCCGTGCCCCCTGCCATCCCGGAGGGAGAGGAGGAGGTGGAGGAGGAGGAGGAGGAGGAATCGGTATCGGAATCGGAACAGACGAATCTTCACAACACGCGGCTACTCCTTGGTCCTTGGGCCTCAAGCCTTTGGTTAAACGATCGAAATTATCCCGCCTCTTGGGCGTGAGGTTGGCGGTGGAACAGCCTGTCCAAGGTCACGAGCCAGAACCGATCCGAACCGAGAGCACACCCTACAGAACCAATACCCATGGAAACACATGCGGTGGGATCGATGAGCGAATATTCTCCCCACGTGCACAGCCCCTGACCCTGAGGCCGCCTTGAAGAGCCCCCGCCGACGGCCTCCAGCGGCCAGCACGGGGATGCGAGCCAGGCCGTCCTGGTCGCCTTGGTGGCTCTCGTGAAGCATCTGGTGCACCTCCTGCCTGCCCCGTCCGCTTGATGGGACGAACAGAACAAGGCGACGGCAGCGGAAGACGGCGGCGGTAGCCTGGGAGGGAGAGAAGGGCGAGGAGAAGCAGCAGCAGCAGACAGGGATGAAGAAGAACTCTCAGGCTTCTTATTCGTCACTGCCATGACATCAAGGTTGTCCCTCATCAATATCTTCCGAACCAGACTGGCATTGCTTTCGACCTCAAGCACCTTCGACCTGACAGCGTGCGGCAGCCGAACCTCTGAACCACAGTGGCCTGAGAGCTTGTCTGCAACAATATTCCCGATCACGAAGGGGAATGGAAACCGACGCTGGATGATATCGATCGCTCTGGGGTGCGAGGAAACCCAGAGGACGATGATTTCATGATGAGGACGCTGCTGAGTATTCAATACCGTGCTTTGTAGACCTCCAGAGCTGAGCCATCTCCCCAGTATTATCAATGTACTTTTGAGCCCACAACCCCTCCACCACCTCCACATTATCAGCGACGTAGACGACGGGGCCGATGGTGTAACGGATCGCGAGCTCCAAAGCAGTTAACTCACTTTTAGGAACAGCTTGAGGTGGCCCTACCAGGAGCCCGTACATGTGAGGATGAGGAGCAGGAGCAGGAGCACGAGCAAGAGGAGGAGGAGGAGGAAGAAAAAGAAGAAGAGGGGATGGAGGATATAGACGATGGAGGATATAGACGAGGGAGGATATAGACGATGGAGGATTTGGAGAGGCACGGAAATGAGAGAGCAGGACCAGGACGAGGGCCGGATATTTAGTGCGAGGAGAGCGGGGAGCTCCCGAGGGGTACGGAGACGACGACGACGACGACGACGACGACGACGACCATGACCACCACCACGATTACGACCACGACCACGACCACCACCACGACCACGACGGCGTCGGCCTCGGCGGCGGCGGCGCAGCCCACGCCGCTCCCTGGCGGCGACAGGAGGCCCTGGCCGCGGCCGCCCCGCCCCCGCGGGCCACGGAGGCCCCCTCGCGGCTGCGGAGCGCCCGCCCCTCTCGCGGTGACCGCCGCCTGCCGCCGCCCCTCTCTCGCGCCGCCGCCGCCGCCGCCTGCCGAGCGCCCGCCCATCTCGCGGCCGCTGCCGCCGCGTCCGCCGCCATCGCCGTCGTTGCCAGGGGCCCCGCCGCCGTCGTCGGCGGCGGCGGCGGCGTCGTCGGCGGCGGCGCCGTCGTCGTCAGGACCACGGCTCGCTTTTGGCCCGTCGTTGGCTCCCGAGGGCCTCAAGAGGGCGTCGTCGTCTTCGTCGGCGCCGTCCGCGCCGCCGCCGTCATGGGTAGATACAGTTCGGCTTCGGGCGCCGCCTCGCCTTGACGCAAACTGGCACAGAGAGAAGCAGGTCCTGAGACATCTCCCCGCTTTGCAAGCTCCCCGCGCCCTCCACGGGAGATAGGCTTGGCAGAAGACCACTCAGGGTGAAGAGCTGGTCTTGAGGATGGCCACCAGGCTTCAGGACCCGCTTCTTCCAGGACCCGTGGGCTTCATGCCGCTCGTTGCCGTCGCCGTTGCCTTTGCCGTTGTCCTCGTCGTCGGCGGCGTCGCCGTCCTGGTGTCAAGTTGGGCCCGGGCGCCGCCGGAGCACGGGCCCCCCACTTGGGCAGCTCCGCGCCAGAGGAGGGGGCCGCCTCGGGGAGGACCACTTTTGGCCAGCCGGAGGGGCGTCGGTTCTGGGGCCTCGCCTTCGGTGCAGGTCGGGGGGGCCTGTTCGTGGCAGGGGCTCGCCGTGGCCAGGAAAGCTCCTTCGTTCCTGCCATCGGCGTTCCCTTCTGGTGGCGCTGTAACCGTGTGGGCGGCCTCCGTCGCCGTTCGCCCGCGGCGCGAGGGGCTCCCGCCCGCTCGCCGGGGGGCCCGTCTTTCGAGCTTTCCTCTGGCGGGCCTTGGGTTGCTTCGGCTGTCGAGGTGCGTGAGTCTTACATAGTAGTGATGAAACAACACAACCATTGGGATTTATACACGCTATATGTGTGAACGGACACGTGGGATACATACATATATATATATATGTATATATATAGTATATATACACATATGTATATATATATATATACGTAAGGGCTTCGCCTCATGCCGCCAGCTCGCTGTCTCGGATAATGGGAGATGCAAAAGCTAAACCATGAGGTCTGGGCGCCGCCGTGAAGCAGTGTCGGGACCTGTTGGTTGTTCGACCCTGACCCTACGGATATGCGTCACGGGTGCCACCGAATTTCAGAAATGTTGCAAATCCCTAGTGTTTTTCGACCCTGACCCCGCCAACCTGCGTGAGGGGTGCCACCGAATGTTAGAAACGTGGCACATCCCATATGTTTTGGGACCCTGAGGCTGCCGATCTGCGTGAGGGGTGCCACCGAATGTCAGAAATGTGGCACATCCCATTTGTTTTCGGACCCTGACCCCGCCGATCTGCGTGAAGGGTGCCACCGAATGTTAGAAAGGTAGCACATCCATTTGTTTTTGCACCCTGACCCCGCCGATCTGCGTGAGGGGTGCCACCGAATGTCAGAAATGACGCAACTCCCATATGTTTTTCCCAACCATCCTGTGGTGTTGGGTCCTCGTTTTGAAGAGACGGTCCCCGCGTTCCTTTCCTGTTCTCCTCATCTTCCCCCTCCTCCTCTCCACCGCCCGCATGCGTCCCCCAGACCCATTCGGCACATCGCTAACACGTGTCGTGGCCATAGGGAGCTCCACCGAAGCCCCCAGTGGTACCGCCCACACGCGCCCCCCTACACCTAATTTGGGATTTTCACCCACCCAGTATAGCGTTTCGTGGCCCACTAGGGAGCACCACCGAAGCCCCCAGTGGGACCGCCCGCATGCGTCCCCCACGCTCAATTTGGCAATTTCACCCACCCAGTACAGCGTTTCGTGGCCCCATAGGAGCTCCACCCAAACCCCCAGTGGGACCGCCCGCATGCGTCCCCACGCCCATTTTGGCATTGCCACCCACCCTGAACAACGCTTCGTGACCCCATGTCGGGGGCGGAAAAGAGGGGGGGGGATGACTAGGGGGGGGTGGATATCATGGCGTGGGCCATGATATCTCCCCAGATCTCGTGGCGCCTCTTCTTGTTTCATTACGTCCCTGGCCCCCCCGCTGGGTCGTGCACGTGCCGCCGGTCATGATTTGCACCCCCCCCTCTTGGACCCCCCCCTCTTGGCCGCTTCCGACCATAGGGAGCTCCACCGAAGCCCCCAGTGGTACCGCCCACATGCGTCCCCCACATCCAATTGTGCATTTTCACCCACCCCGTGCAGACCGAAGCCACCAGTGGTACCGCCCACATGCGCCCCCCACATCCAATTTGGCATTTCCGCTCACCCAGTACAGCGTTTCGTTGCCCACGAGGGAGCCCCACCGAAGCCCTCAGTGGTACCGCCCACACGCGCCCCCCACATCCAATGTGGTATTTTCACATACCCGGCACAGCGCTTCGTGACCCCATAGAGAGCTCCACCGAACCCCCCAGTGGGACCGCCCACATGCGTCCGCCTCACCCAACTTGGCACTGTCACCCACCCAGCACAGCGCTTCGTGGCCCGATAGGGAGCCCCGGCGAAGTGGGACCGTCCGCATGCGTCCCCCGCACCCGATTTGGCACTGTCACCCACCCAGTACAGCGCTCCGTGGCCCCATAGGGAGCTCCACCGAAGCCCCCAGTGGGACCGCCCGCATGCGCCCACCATGCCCAATTTGGCATTTTCGCCCGCCCAGCACAGCGCTTCGTGGCCCCATAGGGAGCTCCACCGAAACCCCCAGTGGGACCGCCCGCATGCGTCCCCACACCCAATTTGGCATTTTCACCGACCCAGTACAACGCTTCGTGGCTTCATAGGGAGCCCCACCGAAGCCCCCAGTGGGGCCGCCCGCGTGCGCCCCCCACACGCATTTTGGCATTGCCACCCACCCCTAACAACGCCTCGTGGCCCCATAGTGAGCTCCACCGAAGGCTCCACTGGGACCGCCCGCAGGCGTCCGCCCCCCCCCCCACACACACACACACACACACACACACACACACACACACACACACACACACACACACACACACACACACACACACACACACACACACACACACACACACACACACACACACACACACACACACACAATTTGGCATTTTCACCCGCCCAGTACAGCGCTTCGTGGCCCCATAGGGAACTCCACCGAAACCCCCATTGGGACCGCCCGCGTGCGTCCCACACGCATTTTTTGTTTCGCCCACCCAGTGCAGCGTTTCGTGGCCTCATAGGGAGCTTCACCGACGGCCCCAGTGCTACCGCCCGCATGCGTCCCCCCCCGCCCAACGCAGCGCTTCGTGGTCCCATAGTGAGCTTCACCGAAGAAGATATTCACAATTGCGGTACCCACAAATTCATATGGGTGGGTCATTCGCCCGGATAGTTGCACTCTGACCCCGCCGATCGGCTTGAGGGGAGCCAGCAAATTTCAGAAATGTTGCAACCCCCATATGTTTTTGGACTCTGACCCCGCCGATCTGCGTGAGAGGTGCCACCGGATTTCAGAAATGTGGCAAATCATATGTTTTTGGACCCTGACCCCACCGATCTGCGTGAGGGGTGTAAATTTTTAGCCACCCCAGCAAGTCAGACAACACGCTCAGGGCGTTGTGAAAAATGCCCGTTTTGGGCCTCCCCCCGTCGCGCGGTCCATCAACAAGGGACAGTAAGCAGCAAGAAGCAAAATTGTAACAAGGAGCAGTAAGCAGCAAGAAGCAGAACTGTAACAGTGGAAACTGGAAGCTGCAACTGGCACAGGAAACTGCGAACCTTCGCCCTACAGCCTGGTGGCCCCACAAGGGGGCCCGCGGATATATGATCCAGGGTCGAGGGCCCACGGGCCCCCCCCCCCCTGGTCCCAGGATTCCTCGGGCCCCCCCCCCCCCAGATGGTATGGTCCCAGAGACGACGACGACGACGACGACGACGACGACGGCGACGACGACGACGACGACGACGACGACGACGGCTGCGACGACGGCCACGACGGCGACGACGGCGACGACGACGACGACGACGACCACGACGACGACGACCACGACGACGACAACGACGGCTGCGGCGGCGACGACGCCGGCGGCGGCGGCGACGACGACGATGACGACGATGACGACGGCGACGACGACTATGACGACGACGACGATGACGACGACGATTACGACGACGACGATGACGACGACGAGGACGACGAGGACGACGACGACGACGACGACGACGACGACGACGACGACGACGACGACCTCTCAACCACCGCAGCACCACACCACATCCACAGGGGGGGGGGAGGGGGGCACCGCAGTGCAACACCACGCCACGCCCACCTCTGAACTACCACAGCACCACACCACATCCACAGGGGGGGGGGAACCGCAGCGCAGCACCACGCCACGCCCTCAGGGGGGGGCGGGGGGGACCATCGCGCGGGGGGGGGGGGGCCAATGGCATCAGCATTGGGGGGGGGGGCCAAACCCTGGACCATATATAGCCACCTCCAGACGTGAACTTCTCTCGTTCTCGCGGGGTGCATGTCCACAGCACGTGCATCAAAGTCGTTGTGGGGCCTCCTGGGAGCTTCTTGGGGGCCTTTTGGATGCCTCTTGGGGGCCTCTTCGGATCTCTCGGGGTATTTGTTTTTTTGGGCAAGCGGTGCGGACACCACATCTCGGCGGAGCAGCCATGGGGCGGGCATTCTCGGACGGCTCAGATGGCTTCCAGCCTTCTGAAGGGCTGTCTTTGAGCTTTCGCCAAAACCATCAGGAGCGTTTCAGAAGGCCAGAGGGCTTCTGACAAGCCCCGCTTGCTTCTGGGAAGCCTTGCCCCCTTTAATCCTTTCGGCGCGCCGCCGAACGCTGTGTGGTGACTCAGTGGGGAAACGGGGCGACCGCACGGATTTGGGGCTTGGGTCGTTTTCAGAGGATGTCTGGGGCGATCGGGACCTCCAGGGT